GTGTTAAGTGTGCTTATTGCTACTGAGGTATCATTGCTTCTAAGGTTTTCCACAGCCAGACCTGTGTGAATTCATGAGTTTATATCTATACTTTCAGTTTCAATCAGTTCTATGGGGCTCTTTCTTGCCTTCCTCCATATATTGTTTGTATTTCCTTCTTTTGAAGTGGAAACACTGGCTCTCAATATTATCATACATTCATACATTGCTTGGTGCTACAATACATATAAAATAGTTTCAGAATTGCTGCAGCCATACTACAACAAAAATCAAAGTTACTAAGAAGAGTTCAAAACTTTTGCATTCTTTTATTTTTTCTTTTGATGTGGTTTTGGTTTTGTTATTCACTTGAAGTTCAGTTGGGCTCGTTTATTCCTATTTGTGTTTAGTTTCAGAGTTTTTTCCCACCCTTGTTGATATAATTTTATTTTTTGTATATGAACATTATATACTTTCAAAAATTAAAACTATATGAAAGGTATACTCAGGGAAGTGTCACCTCCTCTTTCATCCTAGCCTCTACACCCCTCCCTTTTTGATAACTAGCTTATAGTTTATTCTTCCTATGTTACTTCAGATACATGTGTGCATGTTTCCTCTGCTTTCTAAGACAAAAGGTTGCACTTTGCTTTTTTCATTTAACAATCTATTCTTTAAATCACTATTATTTCATAGCAATCTTCCTCATTCTTTTAATTTTACAGTGGCATATTACTCCATTGTATAGATATACTATAGTTTATTCAACCAGTCCCCTATTATGGGCCTTTAAGTAGATAGTTTGCAATATTTTGCAGTTGCAGATAATACTGCAATGAAAAACTTTGTGATATGTATTTTTATTTGCTGCAGGTATATCTTCAGGGTAAATTTATCACTCTTACATCTTTAGTGCAGATTATGGCACTTAAAACTATTCTCCTTTGTGTCAGGCAGTGGCTTTTGCCCTAAATTCTACTCTGATACCAGTGTCTAGTTCTCTACTTTTTTATTGTTTTCTCTTCAGTTAGTATACCTTTACCTATCTCTTTATGTTAGCCTATTTGAATCACTGTTTTAGATGTGTCTCTTGTATTTAAGAGGGTGACCAACTGCTCTGATTTGCCTGAGACTATTCTGAATGTCCAGAACCCTAGGAAATTCCTTCATCCTGGGCAAATCAGGATGGATGGTCACACAATGTATTATGCATAAACTTAGACTTTGCTTTATTGAGCCGATTTCAGCATCTTTTTCCTTTAATAGGTGTGTTAAACCCATACATATTTATTGATGTGACTGACATGTTTGGTCTCAGTATATTATATTGTACTTACCATGTCTTTTTCATGTGTTCTTTTTATTTTGCTCTTTTGCAATTTCTTTTGGTATTTAGCAAAGTTTGTATTTTTGTTCCAGTGGTAACCTTTGTATTTATGCTTTTTCTAGTGCCCTTCATCCTCATTTTTCCTACTTAATCTTTTTCTCTTGGGTTTATCATTGTCAACTGGATCCTTTACTTCCCACCTATTATTTACTCATTGGTTTACAATATATTCTAGATTTCCCTTTTTCTCTGTCTTTTCCCATTTTTTGAAGGTTGCACCCTTTTTTCTTCACCAGAGCATGTAATGTTGGCATGGTCTTCTTCCCCACATATCCTCTCCCTTGCTTTAGTCTTAACTCTGCAATTAAATATATTAACTGCACTCCATTAAGTCTTATGCCAGAGTTTTTCCTGCTATCTTTTGGTTTAGATGAAGCTCATCCTTTAGTAGATTTCTTGAGAGGGGCTCAAGAGTAAAGTTTTCCCTGGAGTGCCTGTTTCATACATTTTTAAATAGCCTTGATACTTGAAGGATTACTGGGTTGGATAAAAATCTTTGGCTTGACTTTTCTTGCCTTCAACTTATGGAATTGCTATTCTGTGGCTGCATTGCTTTGTATGTTGCTCTTGACAAAGCAGATACGAGTGTTAGTTCTTTTTTTTTAATTTTACTTAGATTCAAGGGGTACATGTGCAGGTTTGATACATAGGTATATTGTATGTTGGTGAGGTTTGGGGTTCTGTTGAGCTCATCGCCCAGGATGTGAGCATCGTACCCAATGGGTAGTTTTTAAACCCTTATGCCCCTCTTTCCATCCTCCCTTTAGGAGTCTCAGGTGTCTCTGTTTCCATTCTTATGCCAGTGTATATTCAGTGTTTAGCTCCCACTTATAAATAAGAACACGAGGCATTCAGTTTTCTGTTTCTGTGATAAATGACTTAAATGGTCTCCAACTTTACCCATGGTGCTGCAAAGGACATGCTTTTGTTCTTTTTTTATGCCTGCATAATATTCCGTGGTGTATGTGTACTGTGTTTTCTTTATTAAGTCCACTGTTGATGGGCACCTCGATTGGCTCCATGTTTTTGCTATTGTAGATAGTGCTGCGATAAACATATACATGCATGTCTTTTTTGTGAAGTGATTTATGCTTCTTTGGATGTATATTCAGTAGTGGGATTGCTGGGTCAAATAGCGAACCTATTTTTAGTTCTTTGAGAAATCTCCAAGTTGTTTTCCACAGGAGTTGAACTAGTTTAACCTTTGTAAATAATTTGGTCATTTTGGCTGGAGGCAACATGTTTTTATAAAGCCCAGCAGTTATACTAGGACATATCTTGGAGTTGATCATTATGACTCAGTTTTCCTAGACACATAGTAAGCCCTAGCCATATGTAGAATTTTCTCTCACTGCTTAAAATCTTGGATTATCAGTTTAATTATCAGTTTTTTTCCCACTGTTTTCTCTTTTTCAAGGATTTCTTGTTTCTCTGTCTTCCAACTCAACCACTTTTCTCTGACTTTCTATATTTCTTTCTCTATCTCATTTTCATTCTCTTCATTGGTTTCTTGTCTTTTCCAACCCCTGGTATCAAGATTTCATTTGAATCAATGCTATCTTGGGCACCTTGTAACTCTTGTCTTTAATTCTGAGTTGGTTTGTCTTTTAACAAAATTTCTTTCCTGAGTTGATACACTCATTTAATTTTTTTCTTCTTTTTGATCGATTTCTGAGGTGTGTTTGTTTGTTTGACTTTGAGACAGAGTCTTGCTCTGTTATACCCAGACTGAAGTGCAGTGGCATGATCACAGCTCACTGCAACCTTGAACATTTGGGCTCAAGTGATTCTCCTGCCTCATCCTCCCGAGTAGCTGGGATTACACATGTATACTACCACACTAGGCTAATATTTTATTTTTCTGTAGATACAGGAGTTTTGCTCTGTTGCCCAGGCTGGTCTCACACTCTTGGGCTCAAGTGATCCTCCTGCCTCACGCTCCTGAAGTGTGATTACAGGTGCGAGCCACCATGCCTGACCCAATTTTTGTTTTAATAGTTGAAGTTGTAATTGTACACTTAAAATTTTTTCGAATGCCTTTTTGAAGATATTTAATTCAGTTTGAGGTTTTGTGTTATAATTTACTCGTACTTTTGGTTATTTAGGGGGGAGAATTTTTTTATCAGCTGAAAATTTCCCCCTATTTTCTCCTTATAATAGCTTCTAATGTAGTTGGTTTGATTTTTCTTATTGCTAATCATTTCCTGGACATGGTTTAAGTGTGCCCTCTTCCTTCAGTGTATGAAAGTGCTGCTTTTTCTTTTTTTTTTTTTGAGTTGGAGTCTCACTCTGTTGCCCAGACTGGAGTGCAATGGCCGCTCCCGGCCACCGCAGCCTCGACCTGCTGGGCTCCGGCGATCCTTCCGCCTCAGCCTTCCGAGTAGCCGGAATTACAGGCGTGCGCTACCACGCCCGGCTGCTTTTTTGATTTATTGTAGAGATGAGGTCTTGCTGCCCAGGCGGGTCTTGAACCCGCGGGCTCAGGCAATCCACTCACCTCAGCCTCCCAAAGGCACGGGATTACAGGCTGAGCCACCGAGCCCGGCTGTGCTGCTTTTTTAAATGAATGAAGTTGAAATTGATGGGGAGTGAGAGGTTCTTTTTTGGTTTTTCTGGTGACTTTAGTTTCCTCCTCTTATACCCTTTTTTCTCTTCGTAGCCGTGTATACAAAGAATGTCTCTTCTCTGTCTCCTCCCCAGAAGCAATGCTTATCTGAGGATGTGATTTCTGACTTTCTCTTTCAGGTCCCTTCTCTGTAGCCATTGGCGTGAACTAAGTCCTCGATCTGTGGTCTGAGTATTTGCACTTGGTGTTGAATTTTCTCTTTCCCAAGATGATGTAGTCTGTGCTTCCTTTGTGTTCCCCACCCTGTCTGCTCTTTTCCAGAGTCTGTCAAGGTTTCTCTTCCCTTATTCTTTGTCCCCACATGTTTAGAGTCATGACTGGAGTTCCTGTGAGACCTCTGTTGGAATTTGTATTTTGTTTCTCTACATATAGGAGATCTGAAGTTTGTGACGTTTTCTATCTGAATGATGTTGAGGCACGTGTCTGTGGTTTTATTTGTACTCCATATATATATTTGAGTAGAGATTCAGATTCAAGGTATCTTCTATACTAGGATCAATTAGAACTCTCTTCTTATAAACTTTTCGAGATAACCTACTATATATGTACAATCTCTTAATAAACTGAAGAACTAATTGCTTATACTACTATGCACGTTTCCTCTCTTTCGTGATTCCCTTAATGATTTTATATTTAATTTTGTACTTTGTTATTTCCCTGTTACTAAACTCATGAGAAAAGGGATAATTTTCTTTCTTTTCTTTTTTTGGACACCTCTCTAAGTCACCCAGGCTGGAGTGCAGTGGCGTTCACGGCTCACTAAAGCCTCAGCCTTCTAGGCTCAGATGATCCTTCTGCCTCAGCCTCCCAAGTAGCTGGGACTGTAGGCATATGCCACCGTGGCTGGCTAATTTTTTGACTGAATTTTTTAATCTTATTAATATCCCACTACCTACAGTACCTGATACTTTCTAGATACTCATAAAATAATCATTGAATGGAATTAATCTTTCACGTAGCTATGTTCTTTTCCTTCTCAAGTCTTAAATCAATGTATTTACATTATAGATGCTGAGAAAAACTCTTGAAGGAACTGAAAGTGAAGAACTGGAAACTGTGCAGGAGAAACCAAATTTGGTGCCATTTGGGGATGTGGTATGTATGATTAACCCTCAAGAAATATGTATAAATTATTTATTATTGTATATGAAGAGTAGTTGATGTTGGGTAATTAAAAAGCATGTACATATACTCAGTGATCTATTACAGAAACAAGGACCAGAGTACCGTATGTTCTCACTCATAAGCAGACCTTGAACAATTATCATAATACTATAAGAAAGGGATTGGCAGTAGGGGGAAACTGCCAGGTGTGTGTGTGTGTGGGGGGTCTTAGCAGTTGAGGGAAACTGCCAGGGGAGGGAGGGGCACACTTCATCGACAAGGGTGCCTGCATAATGAACATTTGTATACCTAACTCTGAATTGTACCCCACATCTTTAAAATAAAGAAAAAAAGAAAAGAGCATATTCATGATTTTTTCATTTTTTGTGAGTCAGAGAAATATTGTAATATCATTGAAATGATAGAAAACATCCTGATTCACAGAGGAATATTTTCTATACTAAAGATTCACAAGTCTTGTTACATTGGAATCATCTGGGATACTTTTTTAAACCCTTGACTTCAGGCTTCACCTAAGATCTGCTAACTTAGGATCTCTGAGAGAGGAACTTGGGAATCTATAATTTTACTGAGCTCTTTGGGCGATTATTTTTACTGCAAGATTATACTACAGTTGGAAATATTGGTCCTGCACCCCTATCCCCCCCCCAAGAAATTTCACACACACATTGGGAGGGAGAGGAGAAGGAGGACGAGGAGGAGGAAGGGGAAAAGGGAGGCGGGCAGTGGAGAGAGAGAGAGAGAGAGAAGGAAAATGAAAATACTGTTTAGTCCAAAAACCAGGAAATTTTCTTATTCTATTCTGGGTGTTTTAAAATACAGCGCAGGCCTTGATGATCTATGTGCATTTAGAACTCTGAAGTATCATGGCCTTCATTTAGTTATCTTTATTTTCTAAACACTATCAGAACAGTCACTGGGTATGAAGTGAGAATTTCTCTTGTCCTTCTCTGCCTCCTGTCATATACGATGCTTAACATAGCATTTCTGCTATTTTTACTTAGTTTTAGAGACTATAAATATCACTAAATATATTTTGCTAATGTTCATATTAGGATTCAAAAATTTAAAATTCAAATGTTACTGCATTACTTTTGTATTTGATTTGTTTTTAAAGATGGAGTGCTACTTCTCCTTTATTTTTTATTCTTTTTTTTTTGAGTTGGAGTCTCACTCTGTCGCCCAGACTGAAGTGCAGTGGCACGCTCATGGCCACTGCAGTCTCGACATGCTGGGCTCAGGTGATCTTTCTGCCTCAGCCTTCCAAGTAGCTGGAACTATAGGCATGCGCCACTATGCCTGGCTAATTTTTGATTTATTGTAGAGATGAGATCTCGCCAAGTTGCCCAGGCTGGTTTTGAACCCATGGACTCAGGCAGTCCTCTCACCTTAGCCTCCCAAAGTGCTGGGATTATAGGTGTGAGCCACTGCGCCTGGCCTTATATTTGGTTTTATAGTTCAGCACAAGATACAATTGTTTTTTAGTATTTAGAAAAACTTCATACAGGAGAATGAATATTTTGTAGCCTCTGTCATTGTTATAGCCAATGATTGATTGTTAATGAATAAAGTGGTTTTGGGATACTAGATAAAAGAACTTGTCTAAAACAAAGCATATTTCTTATTTATATATCTAGGATCTTACTTATCAGTTCTCACTTAAGAGAAAATAAAAAATTTTAAGAGTGATAAGCAGATTTAAGCTATAATGAATTATTCTTTTGCTTTGTATTCTTGTTCATTTTAGGTTTACTTTGGACATACCCTGCCCATTTTTCTTCTGTATTTCTGCTTTCTAATGTTTTCTCTTAACTAGGTATTTTTAATGAGAAGCAATATTTCTAATGAGAAAAACCAACACAGTGGAACTTTATTTTCTTTTAAATAGAGTTCAGTGTAAAGTAGAAGACTAACTTTTAAAATGTGCATTCACTGTCTATATCTTTGTTTTGATTGTTGTAGGTTGGCTGCCTGGCTGTCCATGTGAAGACTTGCAGACACTTTGCACCTAAGAGTATCCTTTCTTTTGATTTGAGAATCATAGTATAATTATGTCTTACTGTTTCAGTTATTAATTGCTGCCTTACAAACCACCCCAAAGCTTAGTGCCTTCAAACAGTAACTATTTTTTTTAGTCAGTCACTAGGTGGTTTTCTGCTTCACAGCATAACAGTCCAGGATGCATGAAGTTCACAGGAGCTGGGACATCCAGCGTGGCCACATCCATGTCTGGTGCTGTAGTAGGGAAGCACAGGAGGCTAGACTGAGCTGGGATGCGATAGTCCCAACATGATTTTTTTTCCTGCATTAATTTTTATTTTACAAAAATAAAAATTAAAGGTGTCTCTTTAAATTTTGTGCCCTAGGTGAGTGCCCTTTTTACCCATCCTAGTCCCAGGCTTAGTCACACTCCATTACATTTTATTGGCTAAAGCAGTCAGGGCCAGCCCAGATTCAAGGACAGGGAACTTTTTGGATGTGGGAGTGACAAGGAATTTTCAGCCATATATAATCTACCTCAGTCACTATAAATGAAAGGAAAAATATGTATCTTCTTGAATTACAGTGCTAACTTAATTTTAAGTGTGCTTCTAAACATTTTAAAGTAATTTAGTGATTCATTAAGCTCAGTTCTTATTTTTAGATTTATCATGGTATAAAACCAGTCTCATTTATGGAGATTTGATAATTTTTTTATACAAAGATAATTTTTGAAATGAAGTCTATACAAAGAAATTTTTGAAGATAGTTAAGTAAAACAAAATTTCCATGGAGTGTTATGAAAGATAACAATAAGCCGGGCTCAGTGGCTCAGCCTGTAATCCCGCGCCTTTGGGAGGCTGAGGTGAGTGGATTGCCTGAGCCCGCGGGTTCGAGACCCGCCTGGGCAGCGAGACTTCAGCTCTACAATAAATAAAAAAATCAGCCGGGCGTGGTAGCGCGTGCCTGTAATTCCGGCTACTTGGAAGGCTGAGACGGAAGGATCGCCGGAGCCCAGCGGGCAAGGCTGTGGTGGCCGGGAGCGGTCACTGCACTCCAGTCTGGGCGACAGAGTGAGACTCCAACTCAAAAAAAAAAAGAAAGATAACAATACAGACCAATATAGTATAAATTAACTATATACTGAAGTAAATTGGAGAATAGAACATTTTGCTCTGTCTTAAAGTTAAAAATAAATTATTCTAGTGACATAAAAAATTTCTGCATAATTATGCTTAGAAAAAAATTACATAGTTCAATTAGTCACCTTAAAATTAATATGTAGAAAAATTTGCAAAAGAATTGTAATGGAAATAGGATAAAAATATGACAAGTCGACTGGGCATGGTGGCTTATGCCTGTAATCTCAGGACTTTGGGAGGCCAAGGTGGGAGGAATGCTTGGGGTCAGGAGTTCGAGATCAGCCTAAGCAACATAGGGCGATCTTGTCTCTACAAAAAATGAAAATAAAAAAATGAGCTGGGTGTGGTGGTGCATGCCTGTAGTCCCAGCTACTTGAAAGACTGAGGCAGAAGGATCACGTTCCAGAAGTCAGGGATGTGATGGGTTGAGATCATATCACTGCACTTTAGCCTGGGTGACAGAGTGAGACTCCAACTCAAAA